GCGCCCTCTGCCGGGGCACCCGCCCTTCCCCCCGAGCCACCGCCGAGCTGCACTTTCTCCGCGTCTACCCCGCGTTCTGATCCCCTTTCCATGGCCCGGGACCTCGGTTGGGGTCACAGATTTCCACCCCTTTCTCTCGTCCTCTTGTATGCCTGCGTCTGGCCCTGCCTTTGATGTGGGTCTCTGAGGGATGTACGTCTGTGTGTCTTTGTGGGGCAATTCTCTCTGAGTTTTGCCCCTCGCTCTGCGGGATTGTGTGTCTTGGTTTCTCTCATCTATGTTTTAGACTCTTTTTTTTTTTTCTCGAGGGTCTGTCTGTGTTTCTCTGTTGTCTCCCTTGGCCTCGGTCGAGGTCTCTCCGCTTATCTTGCCGGGTCTCCTCTCCCGTTATCTCTGTCCGTGGGTGTCTCGGGGGCGAACCCTTTGGCCTCTTTCCCTGCAGCGCTGCGCGTCTCTGTCTCGGGGCCCCTGGAGGACTCATCTGCGGAGTCACCTCTCTGAGTGTCTCTCTGACCATCACTCTTAGGTCAGCTCCGCCACTGCCCCGGTGGTTGCCTGGCCCTTTGGGGGGACGCTCCAGCAGCTGCAAACCGTGGGCAGGTGCGCCCCTCACCCGGTCCCCTCGGCAGGGTGTCTCCGGGGCTCTCCACCTGGCTTCTCTGCCAGATACGCGGAGACCCAGCGAGACCTGAGCTGCGCAGCCCTTCAGTGCCAGGGGCGGAAGGGCCTGCTCGGCACAGGCGGGGGTGGGCTGGGGAGATGTCGCAGGGTCACTCCAAGGGACCGAAGGACAGACGGACGATGGCCTTCCAGCCACGGGTGTCCTATGACATCGCATAAAAATAGCCCCATCAGTTGGGCTTTCGGGGACAGGGAGTGGTGGCTCGGCCACCTGGACACCTGCGAATGCGGTCTCCGGCGCCCTCTGCTGGGCGAGTGGAGAGACAGGGAAGGTTTTGCTGAGAATTCCCGCACTCTCTCTCTTGCCGTCTACACTTTGTTCCTCTGTCACCGTCCCTTCGGATTTCTGTGTCCTGCTCTCTGGGTCTCTCTGTCTTGGTCTCTCTCTTTCATGATCTTTGACCCTCCTTGTCTCTGGGTTTCTGTCCTCCCCACCCCCCACCCCTCTGGTCTTTTCCCTTCTCTCTGGTCTCTGTCTCTTTTCTTCTCGGTCTCCTCTTTTTTTTTAAAATATATTTTATTGATTTTTTACAGAGAGGAAGGGAGAGGGATAAAGAGTTAGAAACATCAATGAGAGAGAAACGTCGGTCAGCTCCCTCCTACACATCCCCTTCTGGGAGTGTGCCCGCAACCAAGGTACATGCCCTTGACCGGAATTGAACCCTGGACCCTTCAGTCCGCATACCCACGCTCTATCCACTGAGCCAAACCGGTTAGGGCTTGGTCTCCTCTTTCCTGTCATTCTCCAGGACCACAAAGAGACCCCTCTTTGTGGGTCTCAGCTCTCTGTGTGACCTGACCCCCGCCTTCCCTCTGCGGCCAGGTCTCTTCCACCTGCACCCACACTGAGCCTGGAGGCAGTGCTCCCCCTTCCTGCTTCCAGAAGCTTCTCCCTCCATCAGCTCCACTGAAACTCAAGCTGTCCATGGACACCTCTGCCCAGCTTCCCTGATGAACTCCCCCTTCCCTTCTGGCCCCGCCCACTGTCATGGAAGATTTCGGACTTCATCATTCTTAGAAATGTCAATGTCCTCCTAGATCAGCGGTTCTCAACCTGTGGGTCGCGACCCCTTTGGGGGTCGAATGACCCTTTCACAGGGGTCGCCTAAGACCATCGGAAAACACATATATAATGACATATTGTTTTTGTGATTAATCACTATGCTTTCATTATGTTCAATTTGTAACAATGAAAAGACATTCTGCAGATCATATATTTACATGACGATTCGTAACAGTAGCAACATTACAGTTATGAAGTAGCAACGAAAATAATGTTATGGTTGGGGGTCACCACAACATGAGGAGCTGTATTAATGGGTCTCAGCATTAGGAAGGTTGAGAACCACTGTCCTAGATGATCCTCCTGGAACCTGGCCTTACTGGATTGTCTTTTCCCAAAAGGATCAGATTTCTCGTCCTACAAAGTAGTCCCGAGCCGTGCCACACCCTCCCTAGAGGAGTCCGTGTCCCTGGCTTTTGGTCATTCGCTCAACCAACAGCCTGTCTCATGGGAAGCCATGTGGTTTCCCAGGTTGGGATATAAAAGGCAACTTTCCATCCCACTGTTTCCTCAGAACACTTTTTTTTTCGTTTAATATATTTTTTATTGATCTCAGAGAGGATGGGAGAGGGAGAGAGATAGAAGCATCAATGATGAGAGAGAATCATGGATCAGCTGTCTCCTGCATGCCCCCTACTGGGAATTGAGCCCACAACCCAGGCATGTGCCCTTGACCAGAATCGAACCCGGGACCCTTCAGTCCACAGGCTGACCCTCTATCCACTGAGCCAAACCGGCTAGGGTGGAACGCTTCTTTTTTTTGTTAATCCTCACCTGAGGATATTTTTCCATTGATTTTTAAGAGAAAGTGGAAGGGAAGGGGGAGGAAGAAAGAGAGAGACACATCGATTGGTTGCCTCCCACACATGCTCCAACTGGGGCCAGGGATTGAACATGCAACTCAGGTATGCATGCCTTTGACCAGGAATCAAACCCGAGACCCTTTGATGCACGGCCGATGTTCTAACCACTGAGCTTCACGGACCAGGGCTCCTTGGGACACTCCTGCAGGCCAGATGGTGAGGCCCCTGTAGAGAGGACTTAGGCTACTGGCCCTTGGTCCTGGCTAAACTCAGCTGATGACCAGTACCAACCTGTCGCCATCTGAGTGAGTCACCTTGGAAGCACATCTTGCCCCAGCCAGAGTACCCCCACGGATGCTTCTGGAGCCAGATAAGCCCCTCCCCCAGCTCTGCCCAGCTTGAAGATTTGTGAGGTTGTAGAGTTCTTTTTGGTGGGGAAGGTGATATAACACAGAGACAGAGTTTTGTTCTCATTACATCACTAGAGGCCTGGTGCATGAAATTCATGAATAGATAGGGTCCCTAGGCCTGGCTGGGGATCAGGGCAGGTCAGGTTCCCCGCCTCCCCACTTCTTCCTTTCCTGGCTCCCTCAGTGCCCTGCTACCATGCCACTGTTGGTCGCCTGCCATGTTCCGTGCCGCCCCCTGGTGGTCAGCGCATGTCATAGCTAGCGATTGAACTCCGTTCTCCAGGTGGAACTCCCGAGGGGACACTTTGCATATTGTCCATAGATAGATAGATAGGTAGGTAGGTAGGTAGATATAGATATTGGGTGCAAGAGGTTGATATGTCTTATCACAGGTGATTTCAGTTTGATCACTTGCTTAGAGTAGTGTCTGCTGGGTTTCTCCACTGTAAAGTTATTATTTTTTCCCCTTGTAATTAAAGAATGTTGGAGAGAGCCATCTTTTTTTTTTTGCACAGTTAAGTTTATCAAGGCTTAATTTACATGCAGTAAAATTTAACCTTTATAGCGCACACTTCTGTGAGTCTTGGCAAATGTATATAGTCATGCCCTAACCGGTTTGGCTCAGTGGATAGAGCGTCGGCCTGCGGACTCAAGGGTCCCAGGTTCAATTCCAGTCAAGGGCATGTACCTTGGTTGCAGGCACATCCCCAGTAGGGAGTGTGCAGGAGGCAGCTGATCGATGTTTCTAACTCTCTCCTTCTCCCTTCCTCTCTGTAAAAAATCAATAAAGTATATTTTTAAAAAATGTATATAGTCACGTGACTGTACCACAATCAACATAGACAACCGTGTTGTCACTCCCCAAAGTTTCCTCCTTAGTGGTCAATGCCCCTCCTTCCAGTTCTAGTGAACTACTGCTCTGTTTTCTCTCCCTCTGTCCCTGTCGTGTGTGTGTGTGTGTGTGTGTGTGTTTTTCAGACGCTGAATAAATGAAATCATAAGTCTGTAGCCCTTGACCTGGCTTCTTTCACTTAGCATCATGCATTGAGGATTCACTCCTGTGGTATGCATCGGTAGCTCTTTCCTTCTTAACTCTCATTCCAAGGCATGGATGTATGCCCATTGGTTTATCCATTCACTGTATGAGGGATCTTTAAGTTACATTTCATTTGTGGCTATTATGTCTAAAGCTGATGTAGAAACCTGTTTACATGTTTTTTAAAAATATATTTTTATTGATTTCAGAGAGGGAGAGGGAGAAAGAAACATCAATAATGAGAAACATTGATCAGCTGCCTCCTGCATGCCCCACACTGAGGATCGAGCCCACAACCTGGGACTGTGCCCTGACTGGGAATCGAACCATGACCACCTGGTTCATAGGTGGATGCTCAATCACTGACCTGGTTCATAGGTGAATGCTCAATCACTGAGCCATGCCAGCCGGGCTACATGTGTGTTGTTGTTTTTTTTAATCCTCACCCAAGGATATGCTTAGAGAGAAGATGAGAGAGAGAAAGAGAGGAACGTTGATGTGAGAGAGAAACATCAAGTCGTTGCCTTCCTGATGTACCCCGACTGGAGATGGAAGCTGCAACCCAGGTGTGTGCCTAACCAAGAATTGAACCGGCAACCTTTTGGTGCACAAGATGATGATCAACCAACCGAGTCACTCCGGCCAGGGCTTGTGCACGTTTTTGTGTGAACATAGGTTTCCAGGTCTCTTAAGTCGTTAAGAGTGGGCTTTCGGGATTGTATGGAAGGTGTATGCTTAACTTCTTTGCCATCAGCAGACTTTCTATCCTAATACCTTTTCTATCTTATAAAAAACACCCTTCCTTGACTCTCCTTCTTTTCCTGCTATTACCTCTCTCTGCTGCCTTTAGAGCAGCGGTTCTCAACCTGTGGGTCGCGACCCCTTTGGCGGTCGAACGACCCTTTCACAGGGGTCGCCTAAGACCATCCTGCATATCAGATATTTACATGACGATTCATAACAGTAGCAACATGACAGTTATGAAGTAGCAACGAAAATAATTTTATGGTTGGGTCACCACATGAGGAACTGTATTTAAAGGGCCAGAAGGTTGAGAACCACTGCTTTAGAGCAAAACTTCTCTAAAGACTTCCCTACCTGAGGTCTCCACTTCCTCTCTCATCACCTTGTCAAGGTCACCACCTATGTCTTTAGCTTTATTTTTTTTTTAATGTTTTTATTGATTGAAGAAAGGGAGAGGGAAAGGGAGAGAAACATCAACGAGAGAGAAAACATCAACGATTGGCTGCCTCCTACACACTCCCTACTGGGGATAGAGTCCAAAACTAAGGCCTGTGCCCTGACCGGGAATCAACCCCGGGAGACCTCTTGGTGCCTGGGTAGAAGATGCTCAACCACTGAGCACACTGGCTGGGCTCAATCTTTATTATCATTTGTAATTGATTTCAGAGAGGAAGGGAGAGGAAGAGAGGGATAGAAGCATCAATGATGAGAGAAAATCATTGATCAGCTGCCTCCTGTATGCCCCCTATTCAAACTCACTTTGAAATCATTTCAGACTTACAGAAAAGCTGCAAAAATTGTAGAGCTTCCATATATCCTTCAACCAACCACCTTCTGCCAGTGTCAACTTCTTACATAACCATAGTATAGTTATTTGTCAGGAAATTAACATTGATATAATGTGATTAACCAATAATACTATAGACCTTATTTGAATTGCACTAGTTACCCATGAATGTTCTTTCTGGCTTAGAATCTAATTCAAGATCCCACATTGTATGAATTGACTCCTTAATTTCTGATGGGAGTTTTTTTTTTTAAATATATTTTATTGATTTTTTACAGAGAGGAAGGGAGATAGAGAGCCAGAAACATCAATGAGAGAGAAACATTGATCAGCTGCCTCCTGCACGCCCCCTACTGGGGATGTGCCTGCAACCAAGGTACATGCCCTTGACCGGAATCGAACCCAGGACCCTTGAGTCCGCAGGCCGACGCTCTATCCACTGAGCCAAACCGGTTCTGGCAGGGAGTTATTTTTTTTAACTATACTTTTTGTTGTTGTTGTTAATCCTCATCCGAGGATATTTTTTCCACTGATTTTTTAAGAGAGAGTGGAAGGGAAGGGGAGAAACAGAGAGAGCGAGAGAAACATCAGTGTGAGAGATACACATTGATTGATTGATTGCCTTCCGCACCCATGACTAGGGCTGGGGATGGAGCCTGCAACCGAGGTACATGCCCTTGACTGGAATCGAACCTGGGACCCTTCAGTCTGAGGGCCAACTCTCTAGCCACCGAGCCAAACCGGCTAAGGCTAACTTCACTTTTTAATATACACTCTAATTACACTCCTATAGCAACCGAATAAGTTAGCTCTACCTTCACATACATCCTGAATCCCACCATCCTTTCCGCCTCACTGCTGCCTTCTTGGTCCAAGCCATCTCTTCCCTGGACACTGTAGACTCCTGACCATCTCCCTGTTCCCCCTTCAGCCCCTTCCCTGCATTTTTTCTGTCCATAGCCATGGAATTGATCTTTTAAAAATGTAAATTAGCTCTAGCCGGTTTTGCTCAGTGGATAGAGCATCAGCCTGCGGACTGAAGGGTCCAGGTTCGATTCTGGTCAAGGGCACATGCCTGGCTTGTGGGCTTGAGGGGGAGTGCAGGAGGCAGCCAATCAAGATTCTCTCACATCATTGATGTTTCTCTCTCTCTCAGCCTTCCTCTCTGAAATCAATAAAAATATATTTTAAAAAATAAATAATAAAAATGTAAATTAGGTATGTCTCTTGCCTGGTCAAAACACTTTAGTTAGCCCTAGCCAGTTTGGCTCAGTGGATAGAGCATCAGCCTGCAGACGAAAGGGTCCCAGGTTTGATTCCGGCCAAGGGCACATGCCTGGGTTTCGGGCTCGATCCCCAATGGGGGGCCTGCAGGAGGTGACCGATCAATGATTCTCTCTCATCATTGATGTTTCTCTCTCTCCCTCTCCCTTCCTCTCTGAAATCAATAAAAATATATTAAAAATGAATAAATAAAAAAAAACACTTTAGTTACTTCATTTTAAAAAAATTTCCCTCACCCCATGTAACACTTGATCCAGGCAAGGGTCAGCAATGGCTGCTACAATAATAACTGGGGAGCAGATTTGCAAGGTGGCGGGTCTCACTTCTGAGACCACCAAGGGGAAAACGCACCTTTGCAAGGGGCGATCTGGCAGTTAGGTCCTTGACCAGGTAGCCACACTCAGCGTCTAATGGTGCGGCCATCTGACATTATGCACCTCCAGATGTGATTCATGGTATCGCCAGGAAAACGTCCTTGCCGAAAATTCTTAACTTCAGCCTTTCAAACCTTCAGACTCAATGTCCGTTTTACAGGCAAAATAGGGGTCATGGAACAAACTGAACAGTAGGAGGAAACAATCAGACAAACCTACATGTGGAACAGTCTATTGGGAGCTGGTCTGAACTCTGGGAAAAACAGCAACATAATGGGGGGAAAGTGTGTGTGTGTGTGTTTATTCTTTATTAAAACAGACTAAGGAGACATAACAACCAAACACAATGTGTGAATCTTGCTTGGTTCCTGGTTTGAATTGAAACAAATATTCTTGGGTCAATTGGGAAAATCTGAATAAGAGTTGGGTAAACTTTCTTAGGGGTGAAGATAATTTTGTGGTTATGTAGGAGCAAATCCTTACTCTTAGAAGATAGATGCTAGGTGAGGGATATACTTAATTTACATTTTTAAAAGATCACTTCCATGGCTATGAATATTATTAAGGTAGGATTAGCTTTATTTTCTTTAAATTTTTTATTTTGGAATAATTTTAGAATCACAGAAAAGCTCCAAAAATAGTGCAGAATTCCCACATACAATGTCAAAAAAATTTCTTCTTTTTCTTTTTCCCCTTTTTATTTATTGATTTTTAGAGAGAGAGGAAAGGAGAGGAAGAGAGAGAAACATGGATATGAGAGTGATACATTGATCCGCTGCCTCCTGTACACCCCACACCGGGATTGAAACCAAAACCTGGGCATGTGCCCTGATTGGGAATCAAACTGGCAACCTTTTGGTGTCTGGGACAACACCCAACCAACTGAACCTCACCGGCCAAGGTCAAAATATTTTTTAAATTAAATTGATTATTTATTGATTTTTAGAGAGAGGGACAGAGAGAGGAACATCGATTTGTTGTTCCACTTATTTATGTATTCATTGGTTAATTCATGAATGTGCCCTGACTGGGGATTGAACACAACCTGAGTGGATCCCCAATAGGCTCTAACCCAGCTACCTTGTCAGGGCTGTCAACACATTTTTTTACAGTATGTGCTCTTTGAAATGTTTCTTGAAATATGAAGTTAGTCATTTAAATTTTATAATAATTTCTATAAGTAATTATTAGTATTACTATTTTGTGTATTCTTTTAAAAATATATTTTATTGATTCTTTTTAAAAAATATA